GTTATTTGTGCCATAAATATTACTATTAAAAACCCTAATTGTGATTAAAAGTCTCCTGTATAGGTTTACAGCCACCTAAAGTCAAAATAAACGCTGAATAATTAAGCTGTGAATGTTATAATACAAATAAATAAAATGTTTCTGTAATCTTTAATTAAATTCTGACCATTTTTTTCTGCTCCAGAATGGCAGACTGTTATGATCACCAGTGAACTAGCGGCTGCAGATCTTTGGTAAACACACACCCTAAACTACAATTCTGTCACTTAATAAACTACAAATCCCATCATGCACTTTGTACACACACCTGTTCCAGTTTTCCACTAATGACACGCACAAAGACACACAACTGAAGCTCATCATTCACTTATTTCCAGGACTAAAAGACAACACACACACACATTTTTGCTGAGGGTTGTTATACTGTTAGTGAACATTACAACGTGTTTTCCATTGTCTAGCCTTGCCGTATTTTGACATTTTGCCTTGTGTCATCGTTTTGATCCATTGCTGCCTGTACTGACTATTCACCTGTAATTGTCTGTTTTTATTATAATGTTTTGTGCCGTAATAATTGATTACTGAACAGCAATAAATAACACTTTTAATGTATAAGGAGATTTTATGTGACTTACTAAACTAATGGTGTTTTGAAATGAATGAATGCATGATAACCGTAAAACAGTGATTATTCTTCAGACTATTATCGTACAACCAAAATCATTGCATCCCTACTTGGTAGCACATCAACACTTTGTGAAGTTTATTTAATTTTTTTTATCTAATTTCGAGAAGATAATGTGCTTATGATTGCTTGCGGCTGGCCCTGCATTATTCAATGTATGATTCACCAATCAGATGATTCCTAAGCCACTATAAATACCCCAAGCTCCATATGAAAGCCATCTTCATTTTGAAGAGGCCCCCCTTCCACCCTACTCCTCCTCCTTCTCTAGATGGGTGGCACGGTGGCCCAGTGGTTAGCACTGCTGCCTAACAGCAAGAACATCACTGGTTCTAATCCTTACCAAGCCAGTCGATGTTTCTGTTCGGAGTTTACACGTTCTCCCTGTGCACACATGGGTTTCCCCCGGGTTTCCCGGTTTCCTCCCACCGTCCAAAAACATGCAGCTTAAGTTAATTGACTAATCCAAATCAGCACCATAGACATGTTCCTAGTAAGTAGTTATCTCTTAAGAGCAATCGCTATCTGTTCATTAGCTACTACAGCAGGGGAGTTCTCAAGGTCAAGCTTCAAAGACCTGGAACAGTGTTTAGACGGCAGAGAGACGCCACGTTGTGTTGCCACAACAAGCAGGAGAAGAAGAATTGTTTGGAGATACGGGTTGTCAGTGTTGCGTTTATAAATGTTCCGCTATGAGAGCGCAGCTGGACTCACGTGTGGATTACAGTGCACGCAGCAGCAATGCATTTATACGGAACATTTTCTACCCGAGAGCTTTTCTCATCTGGAAATGGTGAAATCCGGGTTTGCTGCTCGTCTCCTTTTAAAAAAGACACAGCTCCAGTTGGTGTTGATTGTTCTGTCTCTACAGATTTGGTAAGCGATTAGTGGTCTTTGTTTATTCAGATGGCAAAGTTATCATCAGCAGTACTCTTTCAGATTTAAAGACAGACCTTAGTTAAAATGATTTCTAAGTTACTTAGTTTATAGTTTGTTAGTGTTACTACAATATTATGGACTGAAAGATATGCAGTAAATGTTCAATCAAACTATTGCTGACCGTCATGTTGAATTTTCACCGCATTTTGTGACAGGATAGTCTACACATACACGGCTTTCTGACCTACCAAGTGCATCTGAGTTACCGAGAAATGCAGAGGTTTTTTCTCTTATACGACGTGCGTAATCAAATATTCCACTGTCATCAAACACAGTCACTGTCTTTCTCCTCTTGTGTCTGTATTGGGCGCGTGCCCAAATGGAAACTCCCATTTTTATTCAAATCCTTCCTTCTTTCCCTCCCCCAACACTCCCACCTAAACAAAGCTAGACACACCCACTTTCCTGACTTTTTCCAAACTAGAGGTGTGAAAACACCCTGCTGAAATAGATAGTCCTTTAAATTAAAGGCATTTATTTTAAACTACAATCAAAACTGCAAACATCACTGTATACATTCCAGCCAATCAGAATCAAGAATTTCATCAGACTATACAATAAAATGCCTGAAAGAAAAAAATTAAATTAAAAACCTTTTAGAAAAATAATTGGGAAATGTTTCTATAAGCAGCATTGTTGGATTTGTGGGTGGACACTAATGCACTCTATATTACACACTACGTGAAAGCTAATACTGCAAAAACCCATAATAAGGGCACTTTAAGGGACCCAGGCATTACATATCAGCATGCAGCCAGAGTTATAATAGCTGGCGCTCTGCATGTGTGTTTGTCAGAACAATAAAGCTGTTGGGTGACGTTTGTCCGATCGGCTTGAATCACAACTCGGCAATCAAGTCCCCTGAAAGAGAGCGCTGACACACAACGCACAAATCATTTACATGCTAAACATTCGACGCGCAACACAATGGCATCCGCCAGCGTGAGAAATGGGGAGGCTGAGTCATTTAGAGATCAGACGGGGGAAAAGAAATTGCATTTTTTTTGACACGATCAACCTGAAATTGTTTACCACGATTCATGATTGCCATCCATCCCCACTGGTTCACAAATATGAAACCGACAAATTAAGTTTAGCCTTCCAAAGCGGGGCAGAAAACAGTTGAGCGACAGCCGCAGTGTGTGACCTCTCTGACACGCTGTTAAACCTTAAAACAAGCCAGAATGACAAAGCGCGCGGAATTGTAATGTGGTTTGTAACAGCAATCATTGAAGGTGTTGTTATGTGAAATATGCATGCTGTCTTCATGCCCATATGAATGAGGCAAACCATGACATTCACATTAAACCCAAGAGAACTACAGGAGTCACAAAATAATAACAATATTTAGAACCAAACTTCTCTAGTTAATTGTTTGCATTAAGAAATGCAAAATGCTTTCTAGAAATATACACTACGGTGACAAAAGTCTTGTCGCCTATCCAAGTTTCAGGAACAAAAAATAATAACTTGACTTCTAGTTGATCATTTGGTATCAGAAGTGGCTTATATGACAGGCAAATGCCTCTAGATTACGCTTATTTTTCCAAAACAAAATATAAACATGCCTTGATCTTTAAATATTTAATTAGGACAGTAAGGTCTGACTTTGGTTAGACAAAAGTCTTGTTACTGAACAGAAATAATGTACAGTATGGAATATAAAGTCATGGTGCAGTGGAGAAAAGAGTGAATATTGTGTCTGACTCCATCATGAGCTTGGAGGACTGCATCCATACATCTCTGCAATGACTCAAATCACTGATTAATAAAGTCATCTGGAATGGCAAAGAAAGCCTTCTTGCAGGACTCCCAGAGTTCATCAAGATTCTTTGGATTCATCTTCAATGCCTCCTCCTTCATCTTACCCCAGACATGCTCAATATTGTTCATGTTTGGTGACTGGGCCGGCCAATCCTGGAGCACCTTGCCCTTCTTTGCTTTCAGGAGCTTTGATGTGGAGGCTGAAGTATGAGAAGGAGCGCTATCCTGCTGAAGAATTTGCCCTCTCCTGTGGTTTGTAATGTAATGGGCAGCACAAATGTCTTGATACCTCAGGTTGTTGATGTTGCCATCCGCTCTGCAGATCTCTCGCACACCTCCATACTGAATGTGAGCCCAAACCATGATTTTTCAAACCTGACTGATTTCTGTGAGAATATTGGGTCCACGTCGGTTCCAATAGGTCTTCTGCAGTGATTGTGATGTGTTCAACAGATGATTCAACTGAAAAAATTATATATATATACAATCCTGTCTCGGAGGTCTACATACAATTCCTTTGTCTTCATGCTTGGTTTGTACTTTGACATGCACTGTCAACCCTGGGACCTGGGACAGGTGTATGCCTTTTCAAATCATGTCCAGTCAAGTGAAATTACCACAGGTGAACTCCAATTGAGCTGCTGAAACATCTCAAGAATGATCAGTCGAAACAGAATGTACCTGAGCTCAATTTAGAGCTTCACAGCAAAGGCTATCAATACTGATGTACATATGAAAAAATGTGGAAAAAGTGAAGAGCTATGAATACTTTCAGGTGCACTATAAATATATATATATATATATATAGCTGGAGTCAGAATTATTAGCCAACCCAGAATTATTAGTGTTTATTTTTTACTAGGCTGGTTAGGGTAATTAGGCAAGTTATTGTATAATGATGGTTTGTTCTGTGAACTATTGCAAAAATATATAGCTTAAAGGGGCTAATAATTTTGATCTTAAAAAGGTCTAAAAGAAGTTTTTAAAAACTGCTTTTATTCTAGCCAAAATAAAACAAATAAGAAAAATATTATCAGACATACTGTGAAAATTACTTTGCTCTGTTAAACATCATTTGAGATTATATATATATATATAATGGAAAGCAGATTTCTTCAACACATTTCTAAACATAATAGTTATAATAACTAATTTCTAATAACTGATTTATTTTTTCTTTGTCATAATAACAGTAAATAATATTTGACCAGATATTTTTCAAGACACTTCTATAAAGCTTAAAGTGACATTAAAGGCTTAACTAGGTTAATTAGGTTAAATAGGCAGGTTAGGGTATTTAGGCAAGTAATTGTATAACGGTTTGTTCTGTAGACTATGGAGAAAAAATTGCTTAAATGGGCTAATAATTATGTCCCTAAAATCGTGTTTAAAAAAATTAAAACTGCTTTTATTTTAGCCGAAATAAAATTAATAAGACTCTTTCCAGAAGAAAAAATATTATCAGACATACTGTGAAAATTCCCTTTCTCTGTTAAACATCATTTG